CCGAAGCGCCAGCTCTCCGATATGCCGGACACGCTGGTTCACATGACTGAGTATCGCCACATCCGTTCGATTTTGCAGTACGGTCTCCTTCCCGGAGGCGGCAGTACAGCCGGCAATAAGCAACGTAACATGAATCACTTTTTGCCGATCGACGGACTTTTGGTCTCTTATGAGCACATTCGACCAACGGCCAATGTGGCACTCGTCTTGTCTAAGGCAACGCTGGAAAAGCATCCAGAGCTCATGGAAGACTTTAGCCTGAGCAAGAATGGATACTTCTTGACCAAGGCCGTTATTCCGGCCGGTCTTTTCAGTCTTGCATGGGACATCCGGAACAATTGCTGTGCGTCAACTAAGCTGTGGGATGTCCCAGACTCAACTCCAGCCATGTCAGTCCCCGATGAGCCGTACTTGCGTTTTTATTCTCAGCTCTATTGCGAGGTACTGAGGCTGGTAGGCAAAGGCCACGATAAGTTCAAGATTGAAACAAGGCGGCTTGCATTTAAGAATATTAAGATTCGCGAGGTCGAGGCATGGCGCGATGAGGCCGAGGAGAAACTTGATCGCCATCAGCTCCACGGCATGTCCAAGATCCACACTGAGACATGGCTGAATTTTCTCTCCCTCGACGACGACTGGAAGGATGAAGCCACCAACATGCGTCGTCTCAAGAAACGCTCATTGTCGGAAACGACTGAGGAAGAGGGAGATGACCTGATTGATGTCGATGATGATGACGACATGGAGGTCGATGCCGACATTCCGGCAGACGACGATGATGATGTTCAGGTCACAAGTAATTTAGATGAAGCCATGGTGGACGACCTCGCAGAAGCGTGCCAGAAAGGCACCTGGGTCAAGAAAGGCACTGTGAAGAAGGAAGAGTCCGATATGCCGGACGATCCTTCAGCAGAAGCCTCATCATCTGCAGCAGTCAAGAAAGAAGAAAAGCAGAGCACAAGGGTCTGGTCCTCCCGAGCACGGTCACGAACCCCAACTCGTACTGTCCTTAAGAAGGCTGACCATGCGCCGGGAGCAGCTCGCACTCCATCCGAGGGTCGCAGAGTTTCGTTTTCCGATATTCCGGAAACGAAGTACATCGCAGCAACATCCAAGAAGCGTGCGACCTCGCGAGCGCGGGAGGTCATCAGCGATGCAAGGAAAGCTCAGAAAGCACCAACTAAGTTCCATCATCGCCCAGATGAGATGACCTGCTTGACTTGTGCAAATGCTGAGGTACTCTTCTTTTGCCGAGCATGCCGACACGGCACATGCCTTGACTGCTACCACGATGTCAGTAACCATTGTTCATGCAACAGCATTTATCTCTGTTCGACCGTCCCAGACGCCGATATTCCGGCGCCGCTGGGTGAGCACGAGCGCGAAGAAATCGCGGCAGAAGTCGACTTCACGATTCCCTTCGCAGCCGAATCCGAGGGTTGGCACCCGGACGACCGGTATGCCGGTCGACTGCACCGTTTGCAAGAAATCAAAGATCTTGTTCTCGGTGGCGGCTCAACAGGTTATGCAGCGATGGATCGAATTGTCCTCGAAGGAGTCAGCAAATACCCTTACACGAACCATCCAACCTACAGGAGCCGTTCCATTCCCTCGATTGCTCAACACTGGGACGAACAGTCCGATGTGGCACCATACCCAATCATTCGGCCAAGCTGCTTTTACGACTCCAATTGCCGATATACCGGCGCGGAGATGCGACAGATTGTCGAGCTAAGCCGTTCATACATGCAGGGATATCGCGCGAACCAGGGAGACTTTGATCTCGATGAAGCACGACTTCTCCGATCGACTGAACACGTCAGTGTCCTGCTTCTCAACTTCGGCGATATCAATCGTACACCTCACTTCAACGGCAGGCAGCCACTATCCAGGGATCTCGCCGAGACCGATCAATACGCTGTGCTTCTGCATTACCTTGTCAGGAACACAGCTCATATCACAATCCTTCTTGAAGCCAACGGCATCGAGCGTCATCGAGAGCTCTTTAACCAATATAAATGCTTGAGCGTGTTGGCCATGGCGGATGGCGAATCTCCTGCTATCGCAGCAACCTGTTCCAGTGATCCACTTGGCACTACGAGGCTGGAACTCATCCGCCGGATTGAGCTTGAAGGCGAACGATTAGCCTGGGTAGCCCACGCCGCGACATTCCGCGTGCTCTGGGGAAAGGTCGAAGAATCCACAGATGGAGGCATCACCGATGACCGTGGAGTCCGAAAGAACCTCCGTGTTGCCCTTGAAGAAGGCGCTGATCCAGCAGATAACATGGAGGCAACCGTCTGCCCTGACACCTTAGCTGTAGCACAAGCATCCACCACTTACATTGAAGCTTCATCAGTGGATGCAGAGGCATTGTTCCACGAGTGTCCGACATTCCGGACCGGGAGCCTGAATGACTGCAAGCGCATGCACATGCCTGAACTTCGAGTTTGCGCTTTCCACATCAATGCCCATGCCTTTCAGTCAGGTATTACGGCCGGTAAGAACGCCATCATGAAGATTTTGATCACGGCCGTGGCAGACCAGGTGGACGTCATCGCGTGCGACGCTAATCAGTTCACGAACCGCAACTTCCGGGGCGATCGACATGCCGATCCAGGAACCGGAGCTGTCCTATAACCATCCTTGACCAGATTCTTGTTTCTGCGAACAAGAAGCGCGAGCCGAGTAAGCGCATCACCTATAACTGGGAGGTCTCAACCCTCGCCAGTGAGCAGCTTGCTGCTTTGGAAGGTCTGGATGCCGATTGCGACTGCTTGTTTCAGATCGCCTTAAATTACGGCAAGGACACGCATACGTTGCGGTCAAGGACATCCGATATTCCGGATGATCGTGGACGTGTCGGATATGAAGGGCCTCCACGCCAGAAGGAGACTACCATTAAGGTCAACGAACTCCTTAAGCACTTGAATCACCTTGATCTGTGTCTGAAGAGCAGCGATTTGGGTTACCACCACCCATTTCAGTGCAATTTTTCACTTGCCAGCCGACACAAGATCAGAGTTCGTGGCCAGCAATCCGCAGAGAAACGCGGCGAGAAGAATGCCGAGCGGCTTGAACGTTTGAAGGAACAATCTCGGCAGAAGAAACAAGCTCGCCAAGCTGGCTGGCACCAGCCGTGGTCCTCGGGAGCGTCAAGCTCATGGTGGTATACCGGTTCTTCTTCTTCTTGGAACCCCGGTTACCGAGGCCACAGGGACTGGTAGGTAGTCTCTGCTCTAAGAAGCCGATATGCCGGCTAGAGCACAGCTGAAGCAAGTAGTCGTGAAAAGCCGATATTCCGGCCGACTACAGGTAAATGCCACAAAGCTAAATGCAGTTTAAATGACCCAGATATATCTAAACTAAAGGCCTTATAGATTTGACTTTAACTTGATCATTTGACTTGAAAAAGAATAATTCCGATATTCCGGAACGTTCGATGCAACAAATATGCCTTTCGTAGATTTGTAGGGATTATCTGACGCGATCTAGATGAGCCAGAATGGCATCTACGGTCGAGTTCTGCGAAGACAGAACTTTCTGAATTCATTTGCATCCTTTTGCGAAACCTTTTGTACTTTAGCGATCGTAAGCTTCGACACGAAGAAAATTTGTGTCTGTTTTGTGTTTAGTAGGGTCCTAGGTCCCCCTGGGCGTGTCTACGCTATACGTGTGTAGCACCTGTTCTTGTACATATCCTAGTTTGTAGCTCTTCAGTCCGCTTCCGACTTAATTCATTTGGCTCAAGATTTCACAGCCCAATACTGCATCCGCAGCCATAGAAAAGGTGTGCTTCGACGCAGCTCGCACACCTTACTCACTCGTGTGACTTCTTGGTGTTTTCGATCAGGTCCAGTTAGTCAATTGCCACTTCTGGGGGAACTTACCCCTCACCCCCCCCCCCCCCCCCCCCCCCCCCCCCCCCC